ATGTGCTGCATCAGCTCATCCACCTGCCTCTCAACCAACCTCTGTGGATGGGTTCAGTCCCTGTATTTTTCCAATTAGAATTTCTCATTTCCTTCACAACCATGGCTGTTTGCTTCACTGGTTCAAGATTAACACAAATACCTGGGAAAACACAGGATACACTAACACCCCCCACCCAAAAACCAAGGGGTTCCCAACTCACCTCAGTATCTGACCCTCACAGACTGCAAGTTCCTTATGAAAGGCTCCTTTAAACCACTATGGAAAAGGTGCCTCAGGTTTCATGCTACCCAAGCTTTGGAACTAATTACTCCAAGCAATCAAACAAAACAAAGATACTTATTTTCATTTGGGATCCTTCAGAACATGAATGAACAACCTTAACCTGGTTTTCCCCATGTGCTTATTATATGATTCTTCACAGACTGACAGCATTCTGGTGAAAAGTGTGAGTCTGGGTTGAGTCAGGTATCATGGGCTGGGTGTCTGCTTCGCCCTCCCACAATTGGTTTGATCCCAACGACCAGAGCCATCCTTTAGGAAAGGCTTTATCAAAACTTCTAGTTAGCTTCAGGGTGAAGGCTTTGAGAAAGTCCAAAGTGCCACTGAATGTTAGCCGAGTAAGCCTAAAGCAATTAATTTTTCACCCTACAATCATTTAAACACAAGCATAACTTTGCACACTTATTTACCCAGTGATGTGCATCAACTGTGGGCTTCTTATCATTTCCTTAAAATAGGTTTTATCCAACTTAATATGGAATTTATTTAAGACACAGGATCAGTTATTAATATGTTCTTTCAAATTTTGGAAGATATGAATATCTTCTTTGGCTGAACAGCGTAATAGTCCATTTATCATCGAGGAGAGCCTCCAGAGGAATGAGATTTTTATTTCAAATACACTTTTGCAGCTATTGGAAAAGATTCAGCATTTTTTGTGGAGAAATATGTCATTAAAGCAGAAAGATGAGGGAAATGCTTGTATGCAACACAGGCTTTTCTCTGAGAGCAGGCTGGTGCCTGTCTGGACAGATCCCTGAAGACATAAGCAATCCCAATTAAATCAAGAGCATAGAGCTCTGCCTACATAGAGCTGATGGCTAGATCAAGACCTTGGAATGTCAGCTTCGAAATTTCCCTGGCAATTGCATCACACATCCTAGCGATATGAAAAAGCTCCAGTGCAGCAGGCACTTCCCTCCTTCTCCTCCTATTTTAGTGACTGGTACCTCTAGGGGGGAAAAAACAACAAACCAAAACACAAAACCCCAACTTTTAACCCCCCCTAACTGCTGCACTCAGTATAGGAAAATGTGAAAGGAGCAAATCTGAGATGTGCTGTGAGTGAGCTGCAGATTAGGTCAGTTCAGCCTCACCATATTCTGCAATATTTCAGTGAATTCTATGGCATGAAATACAACACCTATTTGATCTCACACAAACCGTAGTGAAGTAATAAATATTTCCCTACAGAACAATTTTCCTGTAAGCAGAGATTTACTGTAACCCAAATCACAATTTACTCATTTCAAAGCATTAAAAACTAATCAGACTCTCACTAGAACTTGGATCACTGGAAGAGGCGTCCACAGCACAAATGCTCTCCTAAACAGCATCCACAGTGAGAAAACGGCTATAGATGTTTCCCAATCGCTAAGCTGGGGGGCGGGGGGATTTTTGTTCTCTTTCTAGCCATCTAGAAGACAGGAAAAAATAAGATTATTAAAAGGAAAACAATAAACAATAGCGCTCGTTTAGAGACTGGGCGGGTATGTTTAGAACGAACATTTCCAAAATAAAGCCCTCAGGAACTGAAGACAATCACACTTGGGTCAAAGAAAACTTTTGCAAGTGGAACAATGCAAACTGTACCGGGTGCAGCACAATTCCCCTGCCTGGTAAAGGTTAATTCTCTTTCCTCACCCTCACAAACCCAGACAAAAAGGGATGCATTCGCTGCACCGAGAGGTGTTCAACAAGATTATCCCAATAACCCAAAATTATGCGGAGCAAAGAGAACAATATTCAAGGAAAACCTGTGTAAAAAAAAAAAAAAAAGTATTTGGGGAAGGTGGGTTCCTGGCAAGCACAAACACAGCCCTTAATGGATTTTTTAATAACTCTGTGCCACGCAGTAATAGGGAACCACCTGCCAAAAGCACAGCAAGGTCAAGCAAGCGTCACATCCATGTTACAGTCAAAGGAATTCTGAGATCGTCTACTCTGACCTTCCACAGCAACCACTGCTGAAACCCTCTCCTAAAGCAGCACGGTGGCTTTGCAGCTCCCTTTCTGTCCGGTCTGCTTTGCTTTCCCCTTTACTTCAACATGTTTATTTTGCTGCTCGTACCACCTAAAACAAACACAAGCATTTTACGATGCCCACACTTCTCCGCTTCCCCAGCAGCGCTCTTCGCTCCCGCCCCAACTGCGATTCCACCATTATTTGATGAGGGAGGGTGTCATAACACACTTGGAGGGAACCGGACCCGAAGGCAGCCGGACAAACGATACAGTGTTTGTGTAAAATCAATCACTTCGCTGCCGCTCGGCTGCCAGCAGCGCAGGGGAGATGCCGGGAGCCCGCGTGTGCCTGCACAAGGGGCGAACGTGCTTGTGCCTGCTCCAGGATGCAGCCGGCGCTATCTGGCCCTGCCAGCCCCACACGCACCTTCCCCCAGCTCAGCCCTGCGCAGGATGCTGTAACTCGCTTCCTCCAACCCGCTCCCTGCGCAAGCGGCACACCTCCACCAGCCATGGGCGCGGCTCCCCCCTTCCCCTTGCCCCACAGCAGCCCCATCTGCCTGCCAAAGGGGCCGTTACGTGTCCCACTGGGCAGCCAGACGCAAAGGGTAGCCCTGGCCTCCAGAACCAGCAGAAGGGCCCGGGGGGCACCTCCGGGCTGGCCCCACATGTGTCCTGGCTGCTGCCCGGGCAGGTGGCCCACGACAGGCCTCGTCCCTAGGCCGGGGCTCACGCCGTGGGGCCAGGCGAGGGCCTTCACCGGGCCTCATCGCCTCGGGCCAAGCCTCGTCCCGGGGCCGGGGCCGGAGCCCCCCGGAGGCTTCGCCCGTTCCGGGGCCGAGGCGCGGGGTCCCGCTGCCGCCCAGCCCCGCGGGCGCAGCTCCCCTCTGGTTTCTCGGGGCAGGTCAGCATATTTAAACAGTTGTATATTCAAAGACTACAATGGAGGGAAGAGAATTACCTAAGGACAGGGTTAGCCTGTTTGATCAATGCATAATCAGATAACTGCTCCAGCTTTTTTACAAGTCTTTAAGCAAAGATCAGCCACTCAAATTCTAATTCCTTTTGCTAATTAAGCAGCCTGTTAATTGCTCTCGGGGTCTCTAATGCCATGTCATTATGCTTTTTAACAGCCTGCTTGACATCAATAGGGCTGCAAGCTCCACACAAACAAAGCGGGCATCTAGCACTTACTGAATTAGGCTAATGCCGGCATTGGAGCCGGGCACTGGCACGTCGCCTCCAGCGGGCGGCATTTCATTATCATTTCATATCCCTCCCGGGGGAAAACCCACCAGAAATGACAAGTAATTGTCAAAGGCAAGCTACGAACGTTCGGCGCTTACCGGGGCGGGCAGCAGGGAGCGGAACCGGAGCTGCGAGTCCCGCCTCGCCCGCTCACCTGAGCCCCGGGGGCAGCCCGCGGGGGGCCCGGCCCCGGCCCCCGGCCTGGGGCTCGGAGCACAACGTGGCTGCAGCTCAGGGAGTCCGGTTTCCGCACTCCATTAGTGCGGGAGGAATCCCACCGGTGGAGCGCTGAGTGAGGGGCCGTGCCTGCCCGCAGCAGCCTCCGGGAGGCAGCGCAGGGAGCGGGGCCGCAGCACCCCACAGGGGCTCACCATGACCGCGGGCACGGAGCCGCGCGGGTTCCCGGGCTCCGGGGGAGGAAAGGCGCACAGCGAGGGAGGAAACGGGGTGTGAGGGGCGCCATGGGGGACACCGAGCCCCGCCGCACAGCCCGGGGGCACGGAGCGCCCCGCTGTGAGCCCACTCGGAGGGCGAGGGAGCATTCAGGGTGGAGCCAGCGCCCGCTGCCAGAGCCCGACACGCAGCGGACACACGGCTCCGAGGTGCTTCACACCCCAGGGACACCTCTGCGACAACCCTGAAGCATTACCTTGCTCAGCCTCAGCCATCACACGCTGCAACCCTGACCAACTTCAACTGCGCGCTCCGGCCCCAGCACGCACCACGGCACAAACTGCTTTTATCGCTCTTTCTGAAGTAAACACACTCCAACTGAATGCATCTTCCCCGTTAGTGACCAGACACCATTCCTGTCGACAAACAGGCTAGAAAACAGCCCCAAGTTCCCTGCCTCTCAGGAACAGCGCTCACAGACAGCACCGAGCTCTTGGCATCCCTCGTGTTAGCATCTGCATGACCCACACCGCAGCTGAAGAGTCGCTGTTATAACACATGGAAAATTCTTTCAGCAATACTAATACATAAATTGTATTAAGTTGCTGGACAGGCCAGGCTTGGGGAAAGTAAAAAACCATGGACAAGCTGCAAGACCAGACTGAGATCTCCACTGAAGAAGTGAAAACAAAGTAACTAAACCGACGTGCCAGTTGTGCTGGAGACACCCGAGCTTCAGTGCTCTCGTTTCAGCCTTTATTTTGACATCGCCTAAAGATACTGCCAGTAACCTGAGTGAAGAATTCTGCATACAACGATGCATCGAAACCCCCAGTAGCACAGCAAAACCAACTCACAGCCTGTGTTCCATGAGGTGCAACAGGTAGCAGCTTTTATAAATACTGAGCATCAATTAACAGCACAAGAAATAGTTATAATTAAAGATGAATTAGGGAACACGCCTCTTTTCTCTTGAGGACCAGATGTTTGTTTTCCACTATCGGGCCTTTGACTGGCTCTTGATGCAGAAATCTAGTGGCTGGACAAAACAAATCCTAGATCCCAGAGCCTGGGTTCCCATCAAAGAGCAGCAGCACTGCTTCCCTGCTTTCAGCACAGATTCACACTCCTCTGAGTGGCATTTTAAACCAGTTGGTCTCCCAGACTCTCTGTAACCTTAAATAACACTTGACCACATCCAGAGATGCATCTTTGCTAGACAAACTGACTTGACTTAGTAGGTGCCTGCTTGGGACTGCATTTCATTCCTGAGCTCCAAGAATAAAGCTGTGGGTAAGCCTGGCAGGAACTTTTGTCTGAGTTTTCCCAATTTCTCAAGCAAACCACAGCTCCAGCTGAAAACAGCTAAAACTGTGCTGGGTCAGGAACCTTGTCTGAGAGAGAACGGGAATTTCAACCAGCATCCCTCTCATCACAGGTGAATGCTGTACTGTCAGGCTGGAAAACACAAACCCCTGTACCAGGGAACTGGTGGAACAGAAGCATTACAACTGCGCACCTGGGGTGGTTTTCAGGTAGGTGACAGGCTGAGGGAGACCCAGACTTTATTTCCAGCTCCAGAGCAAGCAGACAGAAATCCGAACCTGCACCTTCGTCCCAAGCAATTGCCCTAAATATTAAGTATTCAGGAGAGCCAATCTCTCTGGCATTTAATGCAAATGCTGAAAGATCTTTGTTTTGCCCCGGGTGCATTTTAAACAAAACATGTAAACTGGGTTATTTTTCAGTAACAAGGTTCCTGTGTGTTAGCACACTGTGGAGCCAGGCTCCTCTAACCCACAACTCCTCACACACCCCTGCCCCACTTCATTTTCATTATCTCCTCTTCTGCTCTTCAGTGCAATCCATCTTTCACTCGGCCTCTTCCCCCTCTTTCCCTTCATTCCTTACTCTGTCCATTTTCAAACAGCAGTAGCAATACCCTCACTATTGCTGACAGCTTCCATCTGGTTGCTATCTCCCCGTGCTAGCTGTAGTCTGGGAAACTCTCCACGCTGTCCTCTTCCCCTCACCATTTCCTCTGCGGCTCTGGCAGGGCTGGCTCGTGCTCTTCAAACAACTGTTGGAATAATGAGACGGGACGAGCAGGCTCTGCCCAGATATCTGCACTGAGCTGTACCCACAGCCTGGAATGTTTCTGTTCCAGTGGCACCAGAACTCACTGCAGACTGCTTCCCTTTAAGGTTTATTTGCCCTGACCAATCTCTGCAGCTCGGATCAAATGTGCCTAGTTACTAACTCAGTTAAAAGACTCATTTCAGCTTCATTTTGTTTCTCAAGGAAATTTTGGCACATCAGAACGAGACACAGAAATATTTAGTTTATGACCTTCTGCATGGTGGGGTTGACTAAGGAACAGCTATTGCTGATATCATACAGAATTAACCCTCTGGCTGCTATTTAATTTATAAATGAGAAAAGCATCTGTGATCTCCCAAGTATGCTGTTGTCCTTATGTGGAAATAAACTGTGGTCCCTACATGTGCCCATTTAGGTACAGATATTTATGTGCATGCATGTGACAGGTAAAAATGCATACACACTGAATTTTATGCATCTCCTATGTCTGCTTCAGGATAGCAACACAATTAAGCCACCGTGACCGAGACAGTTATCCATACAGTAAGTAAAATGAGATGTCCACAGTATGCTGCCGAGTTTCTGAACATGTGGGAATAGAGCACAAGAACTCCGCAGAGTCATGCAGCTAATGAGCAATAAATACACACTGGCACACCCTCATCAATTTTAAAGTCTTGGTATGAAAAGAATGTAATTAATTAAGATATGTTGATTTATAAGAGGTGACATAACAAGATGGATAGAGAAATCTTTTCCCTCCAATCTGTCATGGTTTCTTTCTAGAAGACGGCCCATCGTGTGACGGTGCCCTCCTTGGACAGCCATAAAAGAATCGGCTTGGGGTTTGTTCTGGTCTTCCCCACTGTCGTAAGGAACATAAACTTCCTTTCCAACACTTACTTGCATTTGGCACAATTATGTTTAAAATGAAGCAGTTCTAAAGATACAAAAGGGAGAAAAAAAGAGCTGAAAAAATTATATTTAGAAAACTGCTTTCCCCTTTTTCACTGTATTACATTTCTGCACATCGAAACATAAGCCCTGTTTTCCCTTTCTCCCCCCTAAGTCAGATGACTTCTCTGTAACTTGGCACACAGACAGTCTGGTATAAGACAGGAGCGGAGCATTTGTTGAGTCAAGATGTTTAATTTTTTTCACTCACATAATGATCCCTTTTTCCCTCCAGCCACTTGAGTTTTGTTTATGTTGCTTGAGCCCTAAACTAATACATGAATTCTCCTCACTGCCAAGATGACGACTTCGGCACCAGGCGAGATGAGCCGGAGAGGCTACGCTCACTTTTAAGGAGAAAGGTATTTTAAAAGACTTCTTTCCAGTTGTGACGAATTAAATGCATTAAGGGAAACCACTGCCGTTGCGAGAGCTACCGGACCTCAAGGAGGAACTGAGTTTTATTTTCTTTGCAAGCACTTGACTTTTGCTAGGGGGCACCTTGCTCCTGTGCCAACTCTGCCTTATATTTTATTATGCTTAGAACAAAAGGTGGCAGCAATTAGAAGGGGGGAAGTTGTGCTCAAAGAGACTGAGTCACCAGATAAATCTGATACCATTAAGTGGTTCTAAAAGGTGGGATTTTTAAAAAGAAGAGTAACTGCTTCAATATCTTGGGTTTATCCTGTCAAGGAAAGATGAATGAGAACTACAGCTACTTTCACTCAGGCTAGACATGTAAACCTTGTACTTAATGACTGATGAGCAAAATCTTTTCTCTTCCAAGTGCAGATGGGCAAATCCCTCGTAATTACAAAACACAAGAAAATCTAATTTTACCAACAGAAAGCAGCGCACTGGCCAGAAGTTTCCCAAGCAAGAGCTTTAGGTGCTCACAGAAGGCAAAAAAAAAAAAGGCAAACAACATTTCCTATAATGTGATCCATATTCTACCACATGCACATTTAATATAAAAGTTATGTTTGATATATACCGCCTTAGCATTTTTCTATTTTAACTGAAAGCCTTTTGTTCTGTCAAGATTATAGTAGGATTTGCTTTCATTTTTCATGATGTTTCACTCAATACATCACTAACATTAGCAGGACTTAATAAGCATCCACCTTCTCCTTCCCCCCACCCTGCCCGAGGTCTTTTGATGCATATTCCTCAAGAATCTTCAGATGTTTGACACTGTTTGAAAAGCAGCCTCTCTGCAACCTGGTATCAGAGATAATGGAGAGGACCAGCCCGGAAAGTGCTGCGTGGCGCGAGCAACACAGTAAGCAAAACATCGTGCAGCTTTAAATCCTGCCCTTGGTATGGTCTCTGTAATGGGCTTCCCTTCCTCCTTTTTCTCTGTTGCAGATTCACATCTGTTTCTCTGCATTTTGAAACTGTGTTCATTTTTCACTGCTGCCCTTTGTCCCACACTTACTAGCTCTCGCCAAGGGCTTCATTTCACTTATTCAATAAGCGAGAGGCACTGCAGACTGGAGAGAGCTTTAGGACAAAGCTCAAACTTCTATTAGGCCTCAACAAAAATGTTTTTGTTCCCCATCAAGGAACTTTTTCCTATTGCTTCTTGTTGGTTTGTTTTGGGTTTAATTAACGTTTGCCGTTTGTAATTGCCCAAACAGCTGCAATTTCAGAGCTTTAAACCAAACTAAAAAAAGAGATGCAACAGAAATCTATATTGTGTATTAGCAGAGAAACTTTGTACTAGAAAACCCTGCTTGTCCTTCATCCTCTGCGGCCGCAACGCTTGGCTCTGTCTGCGCACACAGTGCATCTGTGCTGCCGAGATCCTGGTCTCTTTGTACGTCTACACTTGTGTAAGCGCTCTGTTAACATACATTTTGATGTCTCACTGGTTTCATACACATTATACTGGAAACCAGGCGGGACTTCCTGGGAATGCTGTGCCAAGTCAGCCGCGGCTACGCCTGGCTGCTGCCTCCAGCCTGTCCCCCAGTCACAGCACTAATTGCTGCGTTTCACCGCACAACAAAGCTAAAGAGGAGAGACCAGCCACGTAGGTTTTCCCAACACAAGATTTCTGACATGTTAACGAGTTTATTATATCCTGTTGCTAATCTAAATACCAAAGAGCTCCTCATTGGAGGAGAAACAGCAAGGATGAAACTTTTAATGCTTAACCATTGTACTAACAGCTTAATGTCTGCATGTGAAATTATCTCGCTCTTGTGGCTATGTTCATTGTGCCGCAAGCGCAAGTCAAATAGGGTTTTTTCTCTTATTAAATCATCATCCCACTATGGTGCCAGTATTAAAAACCCTCCTGCAAAACTGTGAGGTTCAGGAAATATTTCTAAGCGCGTGTTGCTCTGACAGTCTCCATGCACAACCCCTTTCCCCCCTTGCTGTATTTCTTTAAAAGCACTCGGCCTCCTCCTGCTTGAAGCTCATCTGATGCTTCAGTCTGGAGCACGCCTGTTACTTGCCTGTGTTTCATTAGTAATTACATTCTATTTTACAGCTTGAAGCTTTAACACAGAAGTCAACAACACATGTACTTCTCTAGCTACTGCAGCTCAGGAGGGAGCCTGGAATGACAGCAAGTTATCCGTGTGTTGGTTCAGCGCCTCTCCCAGCTTCCCACTGAATGTCCTACGGGCTGACAAAGCGTCCATGAGAAACCCGTGGTGCTGCGCTCTCAGCCCTGGGTGGGCTCCGATGGTGATTCCCCCGCAGGAGGAACCAGTCCAGAGCACAGGACGAGGGGTGTCTCGCATCCCTCACCATCCCCAGTTAATCCATGATTTCTCTGTCACTGACATGAACCTTACATCCCAGCTCCCCTGCTAACCCTTGCTTTGTGTAATTAAGCGCAGACACCTGTGTGCCTTGTCAGCAGCAACACAGTGAGGAATGAACAGCCATCAGTCACCCATCTCCCTTGCTTTTGCTTAGGTATTTAGCATTACATTTCCTATGTCCAGTACCAGTGCATCATCTGTTCTTGCTGGTTTATTGCACGTGGTATCGTTCCACTGTTTGGTTTAGGTTCTGTCCACCGTAAGGGAGCTTCTGAGGGAGTTATCCTAATGCCCCAACCCCATCTGTAAACTCCTGACTTTCCCAGCTCTTGTTTACTGCAGAAGTTTTAAGTGTGGATGGGCTTTTCGAGGGCAGCCCCACTGTATTTACACTTGTTCCAGTCGCTGGTAATTTAAGCCCATAAGTCAAAGTGAACAACTGGTGACATTAATGAGGCTTCAGAAGAATGAAATTGGTGGTAACTTGCATCCCATGGGAGGGGTGTTGATGATGGAAGAGGGAAACTTAATATTTGTGAAATTAAATAATACTGAATAAACAAGAGGGCTAAACCAGACTGTATCCATCTCTTTAATTATTTAGGGGTTGGTGTGCTCATGGTTTTAAACTAGACCCTGACTGTTAAAAGTATTTCTGTTTTCCCCAGCCTCCTATGGGACCCAGAAACCATGATATTAAAAGTCTTAACACTGCTTTTAGAGGGTTGGGAGGGGTTTGATTGCACAAAGCATCTTCCTCCAGAGAGCAGAATTAATGCCTTGGTCTTCAGACACTACCCAGCACAAACTTGCCAAGTTACCATCACAAGGGAGTTCAGCATCCCCTGTGACGGGGATCCACAGCATCTGTTGGAGGGAAGCGCTGGGGCTGCCACAGGCCTGTACTCGGAAAGGACCACCCGGGTTCAAGCAGGAGATGGGTGAACTGGGAGAGAGAAGGGAAAGGGTTAAGCAGAATGTGAGAGGGAAAACCTGCACCTTGGTTCAGGTGTCTCCAAAACTAGAAGAATTCCCAAACCTTAAGGAGCCACATGTCAGGTCCTTCAGCAGTGTAACATAACTGGATTTATACTGGAAGACAGGAAGAAAAGAGACGGGGCTGAGGAGTGAGGTAAAAAAGGGGGAAACAGCACAGACAATTTCTGTTCACAAGGAAGTTTTATCATTTGGCTGCCTTCCCCACCAGATCTTCCCAGCCCCTTCACTTGTTGAATTTGCTCAGAAGAGCTGCACTGCACCTTACGTTGCATTGAACAAGCTAAAGGGAAGGGAAAACTGAAAGAAACACAGCCCTAAAACATGTCTTTGAAAGCAGAGAGCTTGCAGTTTCAGTGCTACCCCATCCGGCCTTGATTTTTACACTTTAAATGGTCAGATTCTTCCCGTCCCCGCTTCCTACCCCGCTCCCCATCCGAACAAATCGGCACATGAATATTTACAAAGACGCGGAAGAAGGTAATTGTCCCCCGAGTTCTGTTCAATTGAAATATCATTTCAAGCTGGAATCATGTTAAAGATAATTAAACAGGATTCCAAAGGGACAAACCCATCCCCAGCTCACCCGGACGGCAGCACAATGGGCTACCACTGCGCGAGCGGGCAGGCCTGATGGCACTTTATTTAACGCGTCTGTCTTGCCTTGATGAGCAGCTCCTATTGTGGAGCACAAGGAAGACGTACTCCAGGACAAGCAGCGCTGACAGACGCAGGCTGTGCCTGCTCATGAAAGGGAAACAGCGAGAGCTCTCTGCCGAGCAGGGCCCTGTCCCACTCCGGCGCAGCATGGGATCGATGTGTTTCGAGCTGAATTCACTGGGAAGTTTGGGGGGGGCGGGGGAACGGGAAGGACGAAGGCTCCGAGGGCGCTGCGGCAGGAACCGGCGTCGCCGCGCTGGCAAACTTTGGCAGCAGCAGAGACAACCGGCGCTGCTGAACCGCGCCGCCGAGGTGGGGCTTGCCCATGTGCAGTGCTCTCAAACCGTGTCCTCCATTAGCACTTGCCTTCATTCAAATTAGGGCCACAATAAAGACAAATGACTGTGGCAGAGCCAATGCATTTTTACTTGTCAAATACAAGGCACATACTTTCCCTCATGCGCAGCTGGCTGCTAAGGTAGGGAGCTGCAGGAGCCGGGTACGCTGCAGACAGCTCAGAACGTGCATCCAGGCTCTTTCCAGAGCTCCCTTTTGTGGACAGAATGCCTCTGAAAAAGCAAAGTGCCCTCACTCCATGCACCACACTCAGGGGCATGCAGATCCCTTGTGCTGCCCAGATGAGGAGGTCTTTGGCCACTGCCTTTGGGCACAGACACGTCCAAGCGTTCTGGTTTTCTTAAACAGAATTAGTGGATTCCTTTGAGATACCTGAGTGGGGAATTAGCTTTCATTTATTATATACATCAACTGATTCCAATTAATGCCTCAGCGAAGCAATGCATTTACCGATACAGTTAAGCACAAGAGGGATGTGTTCCTTGGGATGCTCAGAGCTTGCCCCCGCGCCGCCACCCGTACGACGTGCAATTTCTCTGGCCCAAGCAACCATGTTACAAGGGAAGACAAGCCAAAATAAATGCAAACCCCTCCTTTTTCTCCGAGCATATGATTCACATAAATTACAGAAAAAAGAGAAAAGATAGTAAGAGAGGAGTTTTCTGCCTGTTACTTGGCTTGAACCGCTGCTGTTCGAGGAGGTGCAGGAAAGCAAAGGCAACATTGGAAATACATGTAAAATGGCCTCAAGTTCTTGCTCTCAGCATAGCATTGCTATTACTATAGTTGCTCTGACAAGCAGGAGCAGTGAGATCGCATCAGTAACCAAGCCAGCCGGACAATACTGAGACTGAACTTACCCTTCCCTGCCTGCCCCCCCTCCCCAGTGCACCCCAACTCTCACTGCAAGCCAGGTCTGCTCACATGCAGCAGAGATCCTGAGCTGGCAACTCTCTTCTCTGACCTCCTTCCCTCCCGCAATAGAAGCAAAGCACATGAGGGGCATTCCCACCTCTCCAGCAGTCCTGGTGGCACCATGTTTCCATTTAAGCTCCATCAGTTTCATCATCTCTTCATGTGCACTGAAGTAGCCTCTATGGGACAAGGAAAGCAGGGGACAAGCACGGCCCTTCAGAGGCCAAAATGCACGTATTTACAAGTTGTCTTTACAAGGTGCCCATACAGGTTATTGCAACTCGCGTGCACTCTGGTACCTCTGTGCAAAGCACAAGTACTTGATTTCCATTAAACACTGGACCATTAACAATATTTACACTGCTCACAGTTAAATTTCTCCAGGTATTTTACTTGGAATTTTTTTTTTTTCTTTTTTTTTGTTAAATGGCCTTCACACACACACCCCCCCCTCCGTTTTCACAGCACAGCTATATAGATACCAGTTCTAAAGGAGTAGCTTGTTAGGCTCTAATAAAAAGTACTTGCTGCCTTCCAAAGAGCTCCTTCAGATGAGATAATGCCTATTTATCTAAAATAGCAAATGGGTAGAGAGAAGTATCAACAGAGAAGCCGATGGGCACACGAGGGGTTTTCCTTCCTTCTCCCTCCAAAGAGACTTTAAAGCTGAATAAACACCTTGGAAAAGCACAAGCAATGGAGGGATCTCCTGGGCTCTGAACCTGACCTTTCCGAGTTAAAAGCACGCATTTCCAAGGCTGCTCCTACAAACCCCCATGCACACGAGCGACGGTCCCAATTGCTCCCTGTGAGCCCTCCGATGGGAGCTGTAGGATGGGACCTATAAGGTCTTAGTTCTTTCTGGTTTCCTGACCAGGCAAAAGCGTTCCTGCAATGGTTCCTCAGCGTTAATTTCCTGCTCCTGACAATGAGCACATAAATCTAAAAGCACGTGTGGGTCTGTCCAAGGGGTTTTTTATTCATATTCATTATGACATCAATCTTATTAGCTCGGGTAAACAACTAATAGCTATTAAAGAGAGTGCAATGCATCACGACTCAGTTAACCCTTCCAAGCATGCCAGCTGAAGGGGGAAAGCTCTCAGAACGATGGGAATGTGTATTTTGAGTAGGACCTACTCAAACACAGCAAACCTGGTGTGTATTACAGGACGGTGCCCAGGGCCTCTGTAGGGGTCTGACCCTTCCTTTCCTTGGCAGGGTGCAATTCAGAGCCCCAGTGACTTACAGAGCCCTGGGCAGTCACCTCCATCGCTCTTCTCAAAGCCTTCGGAGGCTTCTGAGCCACAAAAAGACAGCCAGGACTGAGCCTGAGCACACAAAGGCATGAGGAGCCCATCGGCAAACTGAGCTCTGCAAAGCTTTAGGATTAAAAACCCGCGCTGCTGGTGGGATGGATGGAATCGCATCCCTGTGCCATGGGGCAGCCCCGCTGCGCGCTCCTTATCGGGGCAGGGGAAGGGGCTGTCTCGCGGTCCCTGCAAAGGAAGGAAGGGCAGGGAGGGAAGGGTGCAGTCAGCAGGACTCTGGCCTCGCCAGCGGCGGGAGGAGCCTCAGGGCCCT